GGCAGACAAAGATGATCTTCATTAGCTGTTTTTGTTTAAACCTCTGTCAGACACTGCTCTTTTTTTCTTTTCAAAGGGATTGGAAGATGGAGTTGGGGAAGTTTCTAGTCCTTGTTTGCCAGAATACAATTTGAGCTTTTCCGGATGTATATTCTTATGCTAAAAAAGGCTTATTCAGATGTATATTGTGAGCCCTCAACAACTGTATCCTTCTGAGGTGCGAAAGGAGAAAGGATGTTGCTGGATCTGGAGTAATGGGAGAGGACTGACCCATCACCCTCTCAGCAGAGGGTCGGATTAGGCCCAGACACAAAGCCCTGGCCGCCTGATCCCTCCCCTCACTGGGGGGTCAAGAGCCTATGTAGTCAAGGGGAGTCTCTCTACTACCCCCCCCCACCCCCGCCAAACTGTGGTCATCCTAATGGGCTCAGGGCAGCAAACCTTCTCTTTTTTTCAGCCTTCCCATCCTATTAAGTTGAGCAGGATCAGCAGTGACTCAGGAAGGTGAAACCCACTAGAGCCAGCCCATCTGCTCCCCTGCTGCTGCCCGCACCTTTGTTGGTTCATCGTGTGTGTGAAGGGCTTGTGCTATGGAAAACCTGTCTATTCAGTTGTTTTAATTTTCTCAAGACTACACATTAGCAACCAAAAAGAATATACAAATTCAGCTTACTACCCTCTTCTGCCAAGAAAGAGTATGTGGGTTTTCAGAGATTCCCCAGCATCCTAGTGAAATGTACGTGTCTGTGAGGGCTTGCTTTGCCACAGGTGTGACCGTAGCCTGGTCCAGCTGTCCCCACCGTGCCTATATTGCTCTGTCACTAGTGGCTCTGAGCCAAGCAGGTGCTGTCAGGCTGGATCTGCTTTGACCCTCCAGTTTCTCTCACAGAACAAGTCCACAATCATTGCTCTCATTTGCATTTTCTCTCTCGAAGTATTTCATCCATTAAACAAATTGCTGTGTAGCAGGTACTGTGCTAAGCTCTTTGAGAGCAACATGCATAACACTTGGCTCAAGCATCTTGATCCATTAAGAAAGGCAAGAAGGCAACTTGTATCAGTGGTTCTCAAATTTAGGCATCCATCAGATTCACCGGGGGGGGGGCAGAATTCTGATTCAGTAGGTCTGTACTGGAGCTAAGAATTTGCATTTCTGCCAAGCTCCCAGGTGATGCCGCTGGTGTGGCCACCATACTTTGAGAAGTACTGACTCACAGGACTGGGTGCACTGTGGGTGCCGTAGTGCAGCTATGAAGATAAAGTTTGGGAGCGCGGAGGAAGGAGTAAATAGTTTGACTTGGCTTATTCACCTTTCTTCCTTTCATTTCACCTGTACTTCCTGGGTCAGATTTTTCTGCGCTTTGTGAGGCCCTAAACGCTCACTTGAGGACTCCCTCAGCATTCCAAAGTACTTCAGGCACTGAAGTCTGTGTTAGGAGAGCCTGTTTGGTTCTGTCCCAGTCATTCCCAAAGTCATCCCAGTGTTCTTTGTTTCTTCCCTTGCTCCGGCTGCTCATGGCCCTCCCTCCCTCGGGTGGGTTTTTTTCAGGAGCTGCAGGAATGGGTTCAGTCTTCAGACTTGGAAGAGGAGCTTACTTTTTCTTTTTTTTTAAATGTTTATTTTTGAGAGAATGCAAGAGACAGAGTGTGAGCAGGGAAGGGGGCAGAGAGAGAGGGAGACACAGAATCCAAAGCAGGCTCCAGGCTCCGAGCTGTCAACACAGAGCCCAATGTGGGGCTCGAACTCACGAATCCAGAGATCATGCCCTGAGCCGAAGTTGGATGATTAACTGACTAAGTGACCCAGGTGCCCCAAGAGGAACTTACATTAAAAACCGTTCCATGGGTGACCACAGCTATAACAGCAGTTTTCAGTGTTCTCTGGAACCCTGGTGTACCTGGGAGACAGACATGGGGGTTGAAGTCCTCCAGCTACCCCACCACCAAGGCAACAAAAATTCACTGCACTTAATTTAAAAAGGGATTCTGGGGAAAGTTAGTTTGAAGAAAGGGTTCCAACTGCTTTTATTTTGAACTTTGAAAATTACTGTTCTGTAACATGTGTTCCAGTTCAAGCCTCCTTTTTGCTCATGGTTTTTGTTTTAGTGTGGCAAATACTAGAAGGATTGGGAAATTTTAGATCTAGTTCCTATGGATATTTCCTAAGTTTTCCTTTAATAAAGAAAACAGTGGTGTATCTTTAAGCAGCTTTTAAAGTTTTCCGCCAGGCCCCATTAAGTCTACCAAGCATTATTACACACTAAGTGCTAGTCTCAGAGCTGGCGCCAGGGGTGCAGGCTGGATCCTGCCTTCCTGAGCTCTCACTGGCCAACCGGTGGGCTCTTGGTTTTGAGGACTCCTCCTCTCCCCAGTGCCCTCCAGCTCAGAGCGTTTCCACTGGCACATTTTGAGCTCATCTTCCTCCCGACCAGCCCACTCTGCTGCTGCACATCTCTTGACATTTATGGTAACTCCAGATTGCGTCACAAGGGGAGAAGGGAAGGGTGGTGAGATGTGTGATGGGATTTACCCAATGTGAGTTCGCTCCAGTCTCTCTTAGGCCTTCCCTCCACTACCTGACTTGTACTGTCAGCAGCTTTGGGTTGGGGACTTTGTTTCCAAATGTCCCATTCTGGGCTAGGTTTAGTGCAGGTCAGTGAATAGTCTGCAAGCATCAGTCTAGACCCAGTGGGAAGTAATGCTGTAGGATAAAAATGTAGAAATGTCTGGAAATCATAAATCCCATCTGTCAAGGCTGAGATTGAAACCCTGACTCCCCCTATCTCCACTATCTCTCTCTCTAGGATCAGATAGCTTTTGCCAAAAAAGTTTTATTTAATTCCGTGGGAGTGCTTGAATTTATGCCCCATTTCTAGGATCAGATATCATAAAAGACATTTCATTTTTAAAACTTTCACCCCCAACTTGGCCAGTTCCTGTTAGGCAACAGGATGAGGAAGGGCTGCCATCAGGCTGCAGGCCCTGCGTAGTCCTCTCTGCTGGCATTTAGAGTCTCCTGCTGTCACAGTAGGACTGAGCAAGCATGGGCTAAGACATTAGTGTGCTGGGTCCTGAGACTTTCTTGACTTTTTTTTTTTTTTTTTCTTTTTTTAAAGGCTCAGAATGTCTTAAAATAGCATGGTAGCTGAAATAACAGTAACAACAACAACAACAATAATAGCTTGCCATTCCTGAGAATGGTTGTTTGTTTGAAATCCGAGGCATGGGTTCTGGCAACAGTTTCCACAAGCGGGGCTCCCACAAGAGTTGCTCTAATGGAAATCATATGGTCTCATCATGACCGGAAACACAGAGGTCTGTTAAGCATTCTCCCAATCCCTCTGTTAGGAATTTTCTTACAGAAGCTTCAGACACCTACATACCCTAGAATTGGAAATAGGTGGTGTAGACCTGATCATTTTAAAGAGGCTTATGATGCTACTGTTATCCCCTTCAAATAATATCAGTCTACTCTTTGAGCTAGGCTTTCCAGCCTGGATATGCAAACAGTCTGTATCCCCATCACTAAGTCCTGAGGAGGACATTTTTTTTTTTTTTTAACTGCCTTGTTGAGAAAGGGATTCGGGGAGTCCGGCCAGCCATGGTTACAGCACTCCACATTGTCGAGATCCACAGGCTGCCTTCTGAATGGATAGTCCCTAGTAAGCTCTGGAATCTCCATCTTTTCAGAAGTTCTTGCCATGCTGGCCAGCTGTGAAAAAACTCCCCAGGTTCACATGCACCTGCAGGCTCTGCTGCCTTCCGGTTGCTCCGTACAGCAGTTCCCACATCACATTCAGGGAAGTTCTGTTTCCAGCCCCCTTCCCACACTGAAAACCCTGCCCAGAGCCAGAGTTTTGGCAGATGGTGAGAATGAGTGAGACCTGGAATAAGCAGGCCTAGGGTGACTTCTTCCATGTGGGAAGGAGTGAAATGACTTGATTGACCTTGGGTCACGTGCACTCTAGACTTCTGGAAAGTCCTGAATGGCAGAGTCTCTAATGGCTTTATAAGTCACCTTTTCCTGACTGCTTCAGCAGTCCTGGGTAGCATCCTTGGCCTACTTGATTTCAGATTTTGACAGGTGATAAAAGCACATACTGAGATTGCTGCTTTACAGAGTCCAGATTCATAACTATTGACTGATGTTATTTTTGCCTTTGCTGAGACGCTCCCTCATGTGTTTGCTGTTACTTTAATGGATTGCTTCCTGATACATTCTGAGCCCCGGGCACTTGCCCTTCAATCTGGCAAACTGCGGCTTGACCTGAATGGAATCAGATTGAGACCAGTCAGTTGGCAACATGACTCACTTTTTTTCCTAGAAAATATAGTTTGTGTAAGCAGTGACTGTGAATGTTCTAATTTGCATCTTTGTGGAGCTTAACTTTAATCAGGATACTCCAGCCTTTTTCACTTCTATTCTCTGAATTTTTAACATTTTAAATGTCTTGTAGGCACAGCGTCTGGCTCTGTGCTTCCGAGTGTTAAATGGGTAATGCTTGGTGATCATGACTTACCGGTTAGTAGTAATTACACTTCTAAGCAGAGAAGTCCTACAGTTCAGGTCTGTTTGGGTCCTGCCAGTAAGCCATTATTCTCTCAGAGACTCTGCAGTGGGTTTTCATGGGATATCTCCTACCAGTTGTCTTTCTTCCTCTTTTCCTCGGAGGGCCACGTGTGCGGTTTTGTGCAGGAAATCCCCACTGTTCTTGTGTTCCCCCAGCTCCAGTTGGAAAGACATCAGAGTGTCCGGGGCAGAGCCCAGGCCCGACATCTCAGCAGGCCAGACAGGCAGCAGATGCCTGTTGCCTTTTTTCACTTTGTATTTACCATTCCCTTGCTTAGAGTTTGGGGACCAAAACCAGCAGGTTATTAAAGGAATGAGAGTAATTTGACTCCTGACATCGATTGGGGCTCGGGGTTATTTGGTGTTTTGTTTCTGATTTGAAAGCAGCTGTTTGGTAACCACTAACTCTTCCCTTATTCTTTTCTTGCAGATGAGCTCACAGTGCCTGCACTTTACCCCAGTAGCCCTGAAGTGTGGGCCCCGTACCCTCTGTACCCAGCGGAGTTAGCGCCTGCTCTACCTCCTCCTGCTTTCACCTATCCCGCTTCACTGCATGCCCAGGTAATTTATACCCATCGGCCACGACTTCACTCACTCCACCACTGGTCCTTTCAAACCCGGTTCCCCAGAGCACACCGTACAACTAACACCTATCCAAGCTAACAGACCCACCTGCAGGAGATTAATGATTCCCTCTCAATCAAGCTGACACTCCAGGACTTGGGGATCATCTGACAGCAATGATATCACCCACTGCCTGATGTTTGCCCCAAATGACACCTCTCTCTTCCTTAATGATCTCACCCTCCTATCACACACAAGAGACTGGGCCCAGCCAGCTAGAGGGCGTCACCAGACCGTAGTCGTGTGTGCCTGGTTGTGCGGAAGGGCTGCAGAGGGAGGTGTCCACTTGTCGCAGGACTTACGTGTCTGTGTGTGAACCTGTGTATTGAGAGATCTCTGCTGTCGTGTTCCCTCAGGTCTAGTGACCAAAGGGGAGAGTTGGGAGCTTCCAGGAAGACCGCGTGCTGTCTTACATGTGTTACAGGAAAGATTAAGGGTTCCTCTTTCCACTTTTAGGAAACCCTGTATAAAAGGAGGTACCAGTGTAGTTTTGAGAATGTAATTACAAGTCAAGGTAAAGGTTCCTGATCTGACCCACTCCTTCTCAGTGAAGAGTAGCCTGAGTTTTATAAACTCCCTTGTTTCTTCACAAAGATTACTATCTACATACCAACCTTCCTCTTCCCCTGGAAAAAAAATGTTGCCCTTAGTTTTGCTTCTAGTACAAGTAATAGTAATGAATGTTCGGGTTCAGAGTGACGATCAACAGCAAGAGAGAATGTAGATTTCATTTGTCTTAGCGCACGTGGAACTCTTTCTAAAAGCAGGAAAGCCTGGTTTCTGAAAAGCTTTGGCCTAGACAGACAGGTGGGGTTTTTTTGTTTTGTGTTCATTTACAAGGCTGGATGAAATACACAGCTTCCCAGAATACTCTTCCTTCTGACTTACAGCTCTTTCGTGTTGTACAGAATTCACCGTGTTGTATAAAACACGCACGGGCGGTGCCCCAGCTGACATCCTCACAGGCCACGGGGTCAGGAGTGTTGGTGGCTGTCTATGCTCCCATTCTCTTCGAGCAGGGTTACCAGTGCTTTGTGCACTTGCTGACGACCCAGCTGCCCAGGCCCGTACAAGCAGACTGCGGAGAGAGGACCCAGGCACCACCCGCTGTGGTGACCCTCGGTGTGGGAAGGGGAGGTAGAAAGCAGTACCAGTAGTGAGGGAAAAGGAGATGGTGGTGGTGAGAGCACCGGGCACAGAGCGTCACTTCTGGTAGCAGCAGTCCGAAGACTGATGACCCAGGTTCCATCCAGATCAGCTGTGCTCTCTGCTTCCCCTTCCCTTCTCTTCCCTTCCTGCCATTGCTTCCACCTTTGTCTGTGTCAGTGCTTGGTCTCCTGGCAGGTAGCAGGGGAGCGAGAACGGATAAAACTTAAGCCAGTGGACGTATCTTCTGCTGAGTCCTCCAAATGTTCGTAGTGGCCTCAGGGATAACTTTGTCGATGACTGGGAGCAACTCAAAGAAGCCCTTCTGTTTGTGGGCCCGCCCCCGTCATCCATGGATAAGTCTTCGTTCCTCTTGCTAGAGTGCTTAAATACAGATGGACAGTTGAGGCAAATGTTAATACTATGAAATGGTGCCAAGTTTGTGGAGTCATCTGAATATTGATGCCTTTGGTTAATCAGCAACAAAGCCTTTCGCCGTTACCTTGGAAAGGCAAGAATTGACATCAGCCAGAAAGGACTGGGAATGGTAGTTTTGGGGCCCTAACATCTGGGTAACTTGCCCTTTATGTAACGGATGAGATCCCAAAGTATATCTGGGGTTGTGGGAGAAGGAACTAAAGAGTCTTAAGAGATTAGAAAGCCCATGCCGTTGTGACAAAGGTTAGGGAGAGACAGTGCTAAGATTCAGTGACTCGACCATTTGACTAAACGGGATGTGTTGCCCATGGTGGCACCCTCCCCTGTGAGTTCTTCCTCGATCTCAAGATTTTCCCAACCTGGAATCCACTTGGCTCTGCCACATCGGTCCTAGAGTTGGTGGAACTCTCATCTGATACCAGTGAGATCCTTGCGCTCAACCCCACAACTTGTTTGGAGTCATTCCCAGTGACGCTTGGGTTCTGTATCCTAAAGGCTCGTGAACAGAGGTGGTTATTTAAATTTCTTTGTCCAATATGAGAATCATGGAATGAACTGGTAGGGGCTTTACCGATGAGCAGGTCCGGCCCCTTTTACTGTTGAGGAAACAGACTGGAGAAGATGGAGAGAGTTCTCCAGAGTTGCGAATGGCTCTGCCATGACTGGAGCCGGGTCACCTGACTCCCAGGCCTTGCTCTTTCCACGCCTCAGTGCTGGCTCACCAAAAGCTTAACTCTTTGATGCAATTTTGGAAAGGCCTCACTCCAGTGACTCCTTGGATCTTTCTTCTCTCAGTAGATGAGAAGCCTGTAAGAAGAGACTTGGAGGCAAAGACAAGGGAATCAGAACTTAACCTTCACCCAAAGGGTCTGAGAGAATTTTTATTAACTGGAGGTAGAGCAGTGGGGAAGACCAAATGGAGCAATGCCCTTAGTGGATGATTCTGGTTTTGTTTGGAGATCTTACTTGTATGTCTTTGGAGAAGCTTTTATATTATTTTGTTTTTCTTAGCAATGTTGTGCTCTGTTTTGAGACTTGGATTTTTTTTTTCTTCTAGTGTTTCTCTCCTGAGGCAAAGCCCAACACACCTGTCTTTTGTCCACTTCTCCAGCAAATTAGATTTGTCTCTGGGAATGTGTTTGTAACATACCAACCTACTGCAGACCAGCAGAGGGAGCTCCCATGTTGAATTTGCTTGTTAGCTACTTTTCCCCGTTTTGCAAAAATTATTTCTTGGTAACATTTGAGAGATTTCAATAAAAATTTTAATCCGAGCAAAAATTATCTCACGTAGACTGCAGCGTTTTGTTTTCATGATGATGCGAGTTTGGAGCTAAGATGTTATCTCTGAGATGGTGGGAGAATTGGGCCGCCGTGGCACTGATCACACACTTCGTGGGAGAGGGCCTCAGAGCACCCAGGGAGACTTGGCCCAGAGTCGAGGGCTTGCTGCCGCAGCCAGTCTCTTCTTGGGTTCCCGCACCATCAAGAGCTGCGCATTGGAAGATTCTCTTTCTAGCATCTGTGGGTCGCCTCTACCTGGAGATCTTGCTTCAACGGGGATGGTGTGTTGGCTATCGGAAGCCTGTTTGAAGCAAGTAGATGTGCTTTCCAGTCTGTCCGCCCTGATCCAGAGGAAGGAGGACCCAGGGGACAGAAAGTGTCATTGAAAACGAGTTGCGTCTTCTAGTTCTACTCCAGCTTCCATCTGTGGTCTGGTGCCTCCGGGTCTAAATTGAAGATGCTTATTTGACACCAAATCCCAATTTTGAAGCATTATTGCATAAGGCAATGGGACTGTAAGCTGCAGTACTGCCTTATTAGTTGTAGAGGTGATGCAGCCAACAAGTGATTTCTAAGATCATTAACATTTTTAGACATGATCACCCTGTCCTTGGTATTTGAAATGTATTAAATATATTATGTAAGTCACTGTGAACAGGAGGGGAGGTTTCATCCATGGCTTTTAGGAAAGTTAGACTCTCAAAAGAACATAGTGGTTCCTGTCACATCATACTCACACATCTCCGCTTTATCAGTCTGGGTTCGGTTTTGCTTGTTAGCAATCATTGGGTCTTGTTGCTGACAGGGCAGAGAGGAAGCCAATAAAGTGCACTGTTCTCATTACATTCTAGAAACAATACCATTTACCCTTGACCAGAGCCACGTTGTTGGGCCAGAAACTTCTACAGGTAAGTAGGGCTGAGAGAGCAGGTCCCGGTTACCTGTTTCTCCTTCAGAGGCCTCATTCGCCCCAACGGCAGATCTTAACAGGGTTTACGACTGGAACCCTGCACGTAAACAAAAGGTTTTAACATCCCAACACAGACCTCCCGGGGTAAGACACGCCCCTAGGGAGGTGCCTTGTGACACATTGGAAATACTTTAAAGGTTAGACCCAAAATCAATGTAAAAATGGACCGTGGGAAAGTGACCCAGGCAAACGGAAGAAAGATCACGGGCGGAGACGGGAGCCAAGGATGGTGTGCGGGCACTAACTCCAGAGCTGCCCGCCCACCGCCGTATCCAGGCATTGACTCCGTGGCAACAGGCAGCTACTGAGAACTGAATCTTGAAACTTTTTAATGAAGACAAATTTTGTTAGGCACCTCCTCTGTCACTGTGCCCTGTGGAGATGACACCAGGGCATCTGGTGTGGCATGGGGTATGGTTTAAAATGCGTGGCCCGTGAGAGAGGGAACATCTTGAGGGAGCTGGGAAGCGGGGCAGGTGTGAGTGTGCACTCCGGTCAGCACACGGCCCCAGAGCATGGCGGCGGCGTGCCCTGCCCAGGCACGTGGCGGGACTCCCACAGGAAGGGCACTTTATTTTTCAGCCTCTGCCCTCCTGCTCAGAAGGCAGTAGCCAGTGCCGGAATGGTGGTTGGTCCTGTAGTGGGACTGGTGAGCAAAACCCATGGGAGGGGCTGCAGCACCGTACCCGGCTGGCCAACCTCCCAAAGGTAAGGGAAGAGTCGGGAGATTCGGGGCGTTTGCTTCTGTGCCTCCCAGATGGCATCAGCACTTCTCACCTGAGACCCTGGTCCCTCGAGGCCTGGCTTTCTCCAACGGCTACTGTCTCCCTGCAGTCCAGGGCTTGTGAGTGTCTGGGAGACCACAGCTTTGAAGGACTGCAGAGATTGCTTTTGGGGGCTGATCAGCCCAAGGCTTTAAATTGTTTGTAGACCTCGATGAAACTATTAATCCTCTGACATTTCCCTTTCAACCTACAGCTCCACGAAGGCCACACTGTGAGGAGAAACTGCCCCTGGGTGCTCTGTCTCCTGAGTGTGCTAGCCTTGTCTGCTTCTTGATTTGGTTAGCTTTCTGGTCTAGGAGCACCTGGCTTAACTCCCCCCGGAGGCCGGGCTAGGGCAGGCAGGCTGGCCCGCTGTGAGCTCCGGGAAAGCGTCTCCCACTTAGGAGCACAGAGCCCCCTTTCTTTGGCCAGCACTGCTTCTGGACTGTTTCTGGGCCTGGCCTTGGAAGGGTTGGAAGTGAAGGCTATGGAGCTTCATGGTCAGACACTGACTCTGCCATTTACGAGCTGCGTGACTTTGACTGAACAAGTTCCTTAACCTCTCTGGGCTTCAGTAAAGTAGGACTAGTAATCCCTCATGTAGAACAAGAGTGCCTGGCACACGGGAAGGGCTTCATAACGGTTAGTCTTCCAAGGAAATTTCAACAAGGAGAATTTCAACAAGGAGAATGAATCCCAGGACTGGCTACTCGTGAAGCTGTGATAGTTCAAGCACGAAGGGCATCTGGCGCGTCTTGACCACACTTGATGCTGCAGAGTCCTCATGGCTTCAGCCAAACGGAAGGCCGGAGGTCGGAAAGAATAAACGAGACCTCGAGGGACAGCCACCAGAGTGACCACACCTGCCCTCCATCCAGCAGTGGAGTCCTGGAGCTTGTGTCAGCACTGGGAGGACTTGTCCCCATAGGAAGTCTCCCCCCGAAGCTGGGTCCGGACACGCCTGTTGGGAGAAAACCTCTCCCTGACAGGAAATAGATCAAGAGTGGGAAACAGCTGAACTCCCAGAGAGACCAAATGGTTCCTGTATGTTGCTTTACTCAGACCCGTTGTCCCTGAACTTTCCAGCTGTTGTCTTATCTTGCTTTCCTATCAGAGAAACTGGAGAAGAGAAAGACCCACAGCTCATCCTGCCCATTCCTCCCCGGATTCTCTGGCTCATTCTTCCCACAGTCCATCCGGTAGGATTCTACCCAGCCTCATTTCCAGGTGGCAGAGTTAGTTACCTCTCGTGTCTTGGCTGAACCATGGCCTGTTGCTGAACCCCCAGGGGATCCCACCCTGACCAAGCAGGTTCCCTCTCCTTCCTTACCTTTTCTGTCCATCTCATCCCCTCTGCTGTCTGGTATCTGGAGAACTCGGGAGCCCTCACCTCACTAAGGCAGTGAGAGACATAAACATCTGGCCTGTCCTCACCAGCATCTTCAGAAGCAGGCCAAAGTCAGTTCACCAGAGTTAATGGGGTAGATGTTCCTTTAGCCAGAGCTGTTGCTACTGAGACCCAAACCTCACCACACTGCAAGCAGCTGTTCAGAAACCTGAATCAGTCCCCTAGTGCTCTATGGCCCTGACCATGGTTGTGGATCCCAGCAAGAGTCCTCGAATTCACCATGGCCATGGTTGAGAGCGTGGCTCAAAGTGGGCCTCTTCTTGTCTAGGGAGCAGCAGGGTTACCTTCATTTGGTGCACTGTTTTGTGGGTTTCTTACAAAGCATGTTTCATTTTGTCCTTTGTTAAGGCTCAGCTTTCTAGAGCCTGCGTCTTCTTCCCCAACCTCATCAGCAGTGAGAACCCCTTCACAAATAATGTGGTCTGACCACCGCAGTACCATGGTTCAGAGGCTCCGACAGACAGGCTGATTTTAATGATAATTTCCACCCACTCTGCTAACTTTGGGATTTTAAGCGAGCTCATTTTAACCTCACTGAACCTCAGCCTCCTCATCTTTAAGTGGGAAGAATGAGTAAGTACCTACTTCATGGGGTCATTTTAAGGGAAAGAGTAAAATGCTTGGCATGGAGTTGTAATTATTAAGATAGCTCTTCTATTTCCTTCTTTTTGTCAGAACTTGATCTGCCATGGCCCAGAGGCTCCTGAGCCCTCCCTTTGTAGCGTTAGAGGCAGTTAGGATATCGGGACTCAAGACGAGCACCCTAGCAAGAGAACCCTAAGGGCCCGGGCTTTATTCGCTACCAGAGCAAGAATGGCAGCCTGTGGCTGTGGCACTGAGGGAGGCAGGCGCTGATTTTTGGCCTCCTTTCCTAGGAACGGGCACCCATGTACCATCCAGAAGTACGGGAATTCTAACCGCTTTGGAAACAAAACCAGGGCTACGAAGAAACTTTGGAAATATAAAATGTAGCCTTCGTAAAAAGAAAGTGAACTTTTCCTTGAAGAAAACCAATGCTGACAGGGGGGAAAAAAGAAAATCTACTCCAAATGGGATCATGTTTTATTCAGGATTTGTGCTGCCAGTGGGGGAAGGCCAGAACTCCGTGACAGGATGGGAAAGTGGGACACCCCAACTTCAAGCCTCATCCACTCTGCCATGAAGTACTTCTCGCTTCACCGGGCTCGGCTCCTGGGACCTCTAATGGCCCTCGATAGCAAACATAGTTAAAAATTAACACACTGACAGAATTAAATATGGATGACAAGCAGCCGCTGTGGACTTAATCTGACACAGGATGTTACATGCTTGGGTGCCCTCGACCCGAGTGGCGTCTTGAGTGAACTTCTGTGATGTCTGAGCACATTTCACATGCCTCTTTGGAAGCAAGAACCTGGCTTGTGCTTAGGACAGACGGGGAAAGAGTCTAAAAGCTCAGGAGGGAAAATTATCTCTGAAGCCTTACATTTAATTAAGCCCAGCCTTGACTGGTCTTAGCAGGAGGTCTAGACCTTGTCGCTGCCTGGGTCCAAGCCCCAGCAATGTCCCCCCAATTCAGATGGGGAGATCTTGCAGGGCTCTGGGCTGGGCTGGAGCGTCGTGACCTTCTCCAGCCAGAGCTTATTTGCTCACTTCCTTTCCGGAGGTCAGGGTAGGTCAGACGGCAGACTTCACCTCTGGACCGATTCACCGTAGATCTTGACATTTTGCCTAGATGATGGCAACTTGTTCAGTGGCCCTAGGCAAGGAATATTAGATGCCAG